TAACAACAACAACAACAACAATATACCATCTATTACATTTACGCATTGCTTATCTTCCCCACTAGAATTTAACATTCACGAAAGCAAGGATTTTTGTGTAAGCGTCTTGAACAGCTTCAGGAACATTGTAGACCTTCAATATCTGTTAAATGAACTATAACTTCTGCGGTAAGCTTGAGGTAAGCATTCATTTCAAAATATTTTTGTTGTTAAGACCCACAATGACCCTGTATAGGGTTTCCGAGGAGCGCATGTTGAGCTTGAACTACCGATCTTGAGGTTCAAACTGGCTTGCAGTCCAGCGCATTAACCTACAGAGCCACACTAGGACTCCAAAATATTTTTAAAGGCAAATAAAAATTTACATTCTTTTTGTCCTCAATTGTAGTGTAATAAAATGAAAAAAAAAATTAACTAGTATTCTCAAATTATTTCATTTGTAATAAAAATTCAGGAAAACAACTTGAATGAAGCAGCCCATGACTGCAAACACCCCGAAGAAGATGCGTCTGGTAGACACTAGAGGGCCGTCAGCCCAGCGAACCCGGAATGCCAGTACCTGACACCAAAAGACGGAGCCGGAAGTGAGCTAGCCGACCCGCGGCTTTCTGGGACTTGTAGTTCTGGGCCTTCAGGGAGGGCGCGGGCCGGTATTCCTAATCTGCGGCTGCCGGGAGTCGGGTTCCATGCGGGAGGTGAGACGGTGTGGATTAGGGCACCATTGATAGGTGGCGTCTCGGGACGGGATGTGGGAGTGATCGCGGGGTGAACTGCGAGCAACGGGAAGTCGGTATGGGCCTCCTGGGGCAGAGGTGTGGACGCGACTCCGCGGAGACGCGTCCTGGGCTCCGCACGTGTGTCTGCCGCACAGGGTTTCCGAGCCTTTGGGCCTCCTGGGCCCTGCCGCGGTCATCGACAAGGATCGCCGTGTGGACCGCGGCACCGAGGGGCCCTCTGCTCGCCCAGTGCTCATCCCAAACTCTGCCCTTGACCAGCTTGGGGCCTTCGTGGTTGGCTTTAATCCAAGTGGGGGACCTAGGTTTCTACTCTACAGCACTGTCGTCGCTAAAATGAGGTTGCCCCTCGGCTGCTAAAGCCCCAGAAACTAGTGAGGTGAGAATACGTCAGGGAAGTCTTAGAATTCGTAATAAAACTTTAGGGCGGAAACCAGAAAGTCTGAGAAAATGGACACATCTTAGAGCTGCTAGAGGGTTGCAGAATTGACTGGCTCTCAGTGGTCCGCTGGGACATTGGACCTGTTTGATCCTTAATCCCGTGCAAAGAGGAAAAGACACCTTAAAAAAAGAGCTGAGTGACAGCCTCTACAATCTTGTAGGCTTGGTGTTGTTAGGTACCAACTCATAGCGACACTGTGCACAACAGAATGAAACACTGCCTCGTCCTGCACCAACCTCACAATTGTTGCTACGTTTGAGCCCATCACTAATGCCACTGTGCCAATCCAACTCATTGGGGGACTTCCTCTTTTTCTCCCACCCTCCACTTTATCAAACATCATATCCTTCTCCAATGACTGGTCCCTCCTGACAGTGTGTCTGAAGTATGAGAGACGAAGTTTGGCCATCCTGATTTCCAAGGAGCACTCTGGCTGCATTTTTTCCAACACAGGTCTATTTGTCCTTCTGGCAGTCCATGGTCCTTTCAATATTCTCCAACACCATAACTCAAATGCATCAATTCTTCTAGGGCCTTCCTTATTCACTGTCCAAAT